GCTGGACAGGACCAAAAGTGATCTGTATCGTTTCAAAGAGGCCTACTGATAAGTCTCACATGGATTCCAATTGGGCCTATTTGAATTAATACTTTTTTTACTACAGGCCACAATTGGCACCGGCACCGGCGATGGTTTGGAGGAAGAAGTCGGTCACCGGCCCACCGGCCAAATGTTGCCACCGATCTAGCCCTACTTATTACCTACGTTCTCTCTTAAGCAATTATTCCACATTTTTTGCACCACACTGAGCCTATACGCCATAGTACATTAGAAGCTGACCCCTAAAACCTTTAGAAAGGAACCTGGACAGAAGCTCATCCTTTCGTCCGTTAGTTTTTGGATGCCAGGCCTGAGGTTCCGCATGCATCTGAATGGTCTTTGTGATGACTGGGATCAATGATGCTACAAGCGCATAATATCTAGCCCCCCCTATATTATTCAGTCATAATCATCTTGACTGAAGCAATTTGCATTTGCTGCCATTAAGTCCAACGAAAGGTTAATAATTCGAAGTGGGAAAATAGTTAATTTAATTCTAAGGATCAATGCGAAGAGTTATGCGCTGAGTCTTCACGTGACGGCAGCGTTCTCAGTTGGATAAAGTAGAAATTAGAATATGCTGAGGGTTACGTCTAGTTGAATGACATGCGTTGTTGAACCATACCTTCTCTATGATGTCGTCCCTCTCCATTTCTTCCAAAATCTGTACCACACATTCATAAGTCCTGCGAGGATTCCTTTGAAGAAGTACATAGAAAATTTCGTCCATTTTCTCCCTGTATGTTGCTTTCTCCTTCACCTCCCTTTCCTTCACAACCGTAATGAGGTCCTTCTCTACCAATTCATCGATTAACTTCTCTACGTCAAGTACGATATCTTTATCCCTGGAAATAGTCTTCAGGCGTTTCAGGGCCGTTAAATACGAGTCAACCATTGTGCACGCTAGTCAAGGATGGCAGACTAGAGAATCTGTTACAGAAGACTTGAATCACGTGGGCGCTGCTCCTTCAATCTGAAAAAGAAAGTCTACATGAGGGTGTGGAAGAGGATGCTTCATTTTCTTTCATGTAAACGCAACCAAATTGATTCATTCTCAAGCTTGAAAATATTGACTTTTGCAGAAAATATGCATTTATTAGTATTAAAGTAGTTAACAATTAAATTGCATGTATGGACGTGGAAAGTTGAAATGCGTTGTTTTTTTTTTGTTACTAGGTAAGTCGATTTTCCATATAAAAAATAAATATAATTCTCACCAGTTCTTCCGCCCCTAGCGATACGCCTTCTCCATTCTTCTCTTCTACATAGCCCCTCGCCCTTTATTAATCCTTATTCCTGTCCCTAGTTTTATATAAACGATTCCAGCTGCCGCTCCGGGAGAAGTGTCCCTTATTTCCGCGCGTTTTGAATAGCTTTCGAAAAGATATTTATTGCGCTATTTCTTTGCGCGAAGTGGTATTGGTGCCGATGGAGAAGCGGCATAAACCATGCCGAATGGAAAGAAAATGAGAAAAATTGATCATAGGGATGTGGTTTGCATCATCCAAAAATGAGGCTCTAATCGAGATGGCTATCTCATTTTTAACCCTCATCCGGGCAAGGTATTTCCACAACGTACGCGGGCAAGGGGAGTCAATGGTCTCTTCCTTTCTTTTTAATTATCAACTTCAATCCATTTGACTCTCCCGTTTGCAACCGTCTTCCATCACAACAAGAACAATTCCCAGAGTATTCACACGTCAAATATCAAGAAATTATTCCGTTAAAATTTTTCCGATTACTGAAACACTTAGATGTATTACATTTTACCGTAAAATGCAACGTTTTAACTAATATTTATGAGATTTTCATCTAACTCTTCATTGTCTAGTACGTTTTTCTCATTTTTCCTTCGACATTCAATATCTCACCGCAATATATTTGGTAACATTAACAGAAAAAATATTATTGTTAATAAGTTGCAAATCATATACTCCCTTTTAAATAGATTTTGAAAATAGTGCGTTTTACCAGCTCTTTCGCAACAGGTTATCAGATGGGAATACCTCATAGTTGGGTGTCTGCAGTGGCGAAAAACTATTGAAAACAACGTGACAATTGGATACAATTTCCAATACTTTTGCATGCGTACATCCAGTGGCGTATTTTGCCACAAGATCCCCCCCCCCCCCCCCGTAAATACGCTACTGTGGACGTCTTACCAAAAGTATCCTATGTTGCATGAAACAGAAAACCGTATACGGTAGCGAGGCTTACTCAATCTGGTGCACGATCAAAAATTGAATGTAGATTTCATTACAAAATGAAGGTATTAGTCAATATGGAGGGACAACAGACAAATTTTCTGAGAATCCCAAAACTGAGCAGTCTTCTCAGATTAGTTTTGTTGTGGTTAGATGGTGCAGCGAAACGGATATGATCGGGAGACGGCAGGAGCAGAGAGCCGTTGCGAAACGTACATGTCACATGTAATGAGTGCAGCAGACTCCCCTTCCCCTTTACGTCAAGAAAGTGTTTACAAATTGTTGCATGTGCAAAAAAACCCAAAACATTTGTACATGGTACCTTAATGTCTCTCATAAACTAAAGGACATACATGAAATGAATCATGTTTCCCTGGTAAATATAAATTGAAATAAGACAAAATGTAAGACTATGAGTCGAATGGACCCCATTGCCCAGTTAAGGGTTAAAGCCATATTTCTGTAATAAGGACGCTAAGCGCAGTGGCAGCTAGGTGGCAGCTAATAACTCATTACAGCACTGTGTCTCGAAAGGGAGCCACTATATTGTTGAAACATCATTTCAGGTGAACCTCACGTTTTTCTTGCACATGAAATCTCATATGAGTAATGTGATCTCAATTGTTTTCAAACCTCAATAAGTAACCAAAATGTCAGGATTTTTCAAAAGTTGAAGCATAAAAAGTTTAATGGGAAAACTAATCTCGGCACTGCTGCTCACCATGTGCATCACTTCGGTTCGCTTCAACATGATCGAGCGCATGCAGGAGGCTGTCTCAGCGACGGAGATGGTTAATGAAAATTCTCACCTCGTGCTCTCAAAAAGTTACTTCGTGTTCTACTTGCATTTTAGAATTTCATAATACTTATTTTCTGAAGGCACGAGACATAATTTTTCCCTTCCTACAGTAATCGCCCCTTTGTAAAACACAGTTTTCAACATTACATAGAAAATCATGGGATTCAGTAAGAAGGACTAGGAAATCATCAAAGACTTGCGAGTGATGAAGGGGAAGGGCTCTCGTCGAGTCACGTAGATATTCTCTGAAAAAAGGTCACTCCATGGTTTCGACGGAACGCTAAATTATTATTCTGGAAACGGATCGAGTGGGAAAATGGAAGGGGCAGGCCGTTTTCCAGTCGAACTGCGGAACATATCGAGGCTTTGGAATATTAGTGATTAGTCAAGAAGGTGAAAATACCTTCATTCCGGACATTTCGAGTACCAGCTCTACGTTCTTGAGGTGGGTGGATCGCGTCGTTAGATCCGACTTTTTGGCTCTCTTTCCTATAAGTAGACCCATTGGAAAACGGATTCTTGCTACACTATGAACAGTTACAGAATGTATCGCTTGCAATACACCCACAGTACTGAAAGTGGGAGAATACGATTTTAATTTTGATGAATTCCAACGTTTTTCTTTAATTTATTCAGTGTGTCTTTTGGCATTCATAGGTATTGCACATATTTTACTCGTGGCAAAATATTGACAACAATGTAAATATTGCATTCAACGGCAATAAATGGAAAAAAGGCAGTAAAACATGTGCTCAAACATGAGATGAAGGAAATGGGCAAAATATGTCTGCTTTCGGAGAGAGAAATAGGGAAAGTATGAAACCGCAAATAATTAATTGATGGAGCTAAAGTCTTGGTGTTTCTCAACCTTCCCTTCTCGCCTGATGTGTCAAAGAGGCAAGATCTCAATAGATCTCAGGGCATGGCTTCCACGAACACAAATGGTGTCCACAGGTTTCAGGGGCAAGTGCAATTACTATTCACTGCTGGAATGAATATTCATCTATGCCAGGGATGGCCAAACTTCTCGATCTGACAAGACATAATCTTATTATGGCCGAGAGCCACAAGACACACACCACATTACATATGGTGACTTAGAGCCTAGAATACTCTAGAGCAGTGGTGCCCAACCTTTTCGGCTAGTGTGCCTCATAGCTCACTCACGCAGCCATCGCGGGCCAGTCACTAGTATTGTAGGAGACTATTTTAAGGAGACCTAAGGGTATTTATTGTGGGTTAGGGCCTCGAGGGCCACTTTTTGCCTGCGGGCTATGGGTTGGGCACCATTGCTCTATCGCCTACTGTAGACTGCATGCGTAAATTCTAGAGTATTTCACTGTGAGCCAAACATGAACTGCTTAGGAGCCGCGGTTTCGCCATCCCTGTTTTATGCACCACTTCATCCTATCCTATACTTTCCAGGATATGATGAAACGTCAAACTGTCACGAAGCCCACAAGTTCAAATGCGGAAAATAAGAAAATAAGCTGAGAATGTTATGGACATATGAATTTTGAATTTCATGAAATACGGCCATCCCTAAGGATTAGTAAAAGTAAAACCCTTATAGAGGGTCACGAGTCAAAATGTTCATGCCTTGTTAGAATATTCTTTCGTGCAGGAAGTCTGTATGTTTCATTTCAGGCAATAGAAAGGCACAGAACGACATTCCAGAGTATATACCTAGTAGATACACTGCATCAACTAGTGCGTTTGATTCAGCATTGGCACGATTCATGCCAACGAACCGCATTACTTTATTCAACAAATGCCACTTGCGCTGTCGGGAGGCAGTAGATAAGTCAATGATGTCACCATGGCACACTTTCCGGAAAGAGCCTTGCATTGATATTGTGGAATTTGCGGCAGTTTAAAGGGTTTCTGCAGGACAGTATATCATAATTATTCAGATTTTTTTGCTGAAAGTTAAATAAACTTTTTTATTTATATTTAGTAAAATGTTGAACGTTGCAACTAGAGTCACATAATGATCAGATCATGTTTCAATTACAGAGAAAAATACAGTCCCAAATTTCTACAACGAAAATTTTCGTTTAGGGTGAAATGATATGTATAATATCATCCCGTACCTTTAGATCATGATGAATAAAATATTCTAAGGAATAAAAAAAATGAGTAAGAAATATCTGGGTTTTTTATCATTGGAGGGGATCAGGATCCGCAGAATCATCAAAGTTTCCATAAAGAAATATCCCTCCCAAGTTGAAGGTTATTCCTTTCCATCCACGCCCTGTATCCTCCTAATATGAGGGTCCCGGCTTTTGAGCGTGCTGGCTTTGTAGGCCATCACGTCATCTTTGTCATGATGTATCGTGGGATGATATACCATGTCAGCATGACATAGCATAACAGGCCATGTCAATGACGGATGTGTCCGACATGGTGTATCATCCCATACATGACATTTGAATTTCAAAATAACGCTAACTATTACTAGCATCTCCAAAGAGTAACGCATTTGTCATCCAGCTGAAAATCGTGGACAACTCCATGACTTTTTTCTGCGAAATAGCTGCTCCCCTTCCCGTCGCTGACGATACAGTTCCATGGCTTTCCTGTGTGAGAGCTCAATGCCGTCGCGATCATCGCCGCCAATTCGCCATTGCCCTTGATGGAGGAATTCTCTCCAACCTGCAGAGAATAAATGAGTAAAATCGTACCTTCCTGCTATAAACAATGGGGGGAATTACTTGTGGAAGTGCGTGAAAGTGAACATCTCAAACTTCACAATATTTTAACTCATGACAAACCGTATCCTGACTGCAGTAAAATAGAGCCCAGGGGGAAAAAACGCGTCTTAATTGCCGAGGTTCCGCGGGTTCAGCCTCCTCCATTTTCTCCATCGATTGAAACAGGAAGTTTCAAAAGTCACTTCTACAATTTATGCAGCCCCTTAAGGGCATATTGTTTGACGAAGTATTAAACTCAGTGTTTGAATCAATTCGACAACCAGTAAGGCTATGCACTTTCCTTTTTTATCTCAAGGGAAATGGTTCGAAGGGGCTCAATGCATTTCCCATCGGTCTGTGACGTGAAGAAGTGAAGGTAGGGAGGTTGGATGGACGAGAGAGAATGAAAGAAAGCTAGGGGGTGTCCGGGAATTGAACCCCGGCTTCCTGATTGCCGGTCAGGCGTGCTACTGTTACAGCACCGAACCTGGGAAATTCAGTCGCGCCTCTCAACAGTGTCTTCACCACAGGTCGTAAAACCCCAAAGTCCGAAGTCTGCTGGGGTGAGGTCAGGCGACCTAGCAGGTCAAGAGCAACGTTTAAAGTTTGAGTGCTAAAGTAGTTGAAGTTGTCAACATGAAAAAGGCAAACCCATGAAATGACTATAACTTTTTCATAGTCGAAGATGGAAGTCATCGTCTCCATGTCCTCACTCGGTTCCCTGGAAGGATTTGAGGGCAATATTCACCAAATTTTCAATAAAACACGAAAACGGGAAACGAGACAAGTTCCTTCCATCTTAGGCGCCTCTCGGAACCCCTTCTTGGGTTCGATTCACCTCCTCCAAGAACGCATCGTAATCTGACTCGCTGTTCAGCCCGTAGACCGAAACGATTGCCAAGACTCCGACTCGTTCCAGTCTGAGGTGGATCAGAGCGACACGCTCGCTGACTGGGTTCTATTCAATGATGCTGTCGGCTAGTTGGAGACTAATGAGTATCCTCACTCCCGCCTTAGCAAACACGGTTGAGTCGACTCCACTCCAGTAGAGGGTCCATCCATGGTCTAGGGTAATGGAACTGGTGCCTTTCCTCTTGGTTGAGGCCAGGCCAACTACAGGGTGGCCCAGATTAATATATACATTTTTTAACAAGGCCGTATGCCTTAAGTATTTTAATACCTGCATGTAACTATGGTGGAATACATTGTCAAAGGATCGAAGAAGTGAGNATATCTAGTCATCTCTTAGCCTCCTCCAAGGGTTCCGGCTCCTTACCGCCGAGTGTTAGCACATTCCAAGTCCCGATGTTCAGAGTCCGTTACCGTTAGATTCCGCTCCTGGCCTGCCCTTGGGGCATCGTGCCGAGAATACGCTATGGCCGGTGGCAAGCCGATCGTTAGGTCTGGATGTAGCATGACGGGATCCGAGGCACCCAGAGACATCGGATTGCCCGGCTCCAGTGACCAACTTATCAATAGTCACCCTGGGCGCACACTGACTATCGTAGTCCTGATTATCCTGGGCGACGACTGAGCCAGTATGGAATACTTGAGCTGGACTCATGCTGGTTTTGGCTCGTCTTCGTATCCCTCAACGGAAGCCCCTGTAACATGGTTGAACCTGAGATAATATGGCGTTCCGCATCACTGGGGTCAGTAGGAGTGATGATCGGAATGAATACTAGTACTGGGTATTTCAGCAAGAGACATCCACCATGGCGGGCGGGAAATTAGTAAGAGAAAATGAAGTAACCGAGTAAGTAAAGTAACAAAATTTTTCCAAATTCATACCGCTGTTCTCTGTTTGTAACCAGTATAGTGGTCATGGTTCTTCATGGCTTGCTTGGCGATGGTCAAAGCTTTCACTTCCGTGGTCATCTCCCTCTCAGATTGGAATTCCCGGAGGGAAGAGGATCTCCCCCTCTGAATCTGTCAAAGGTATAGCAGTTACATAATGGCCCAACACCTTTTCCCACCACAACGATGGCAATGGTGACATTTGACGTTGGCCTCAAATCGTATCTCACATAATGCAACGTTGGTGCAAAACTAGCGAATTTGGACTGACGGAAACCGTCGATGCCATTTCAAAGACAAAGATTTTATTATGCATAGCACTTAAGAAAATGATACATTTCCATATTCTCACAAAATATCACATAAAGCAAGAGGAGCATCTCCATCGACGACTCTATAAAGGATGGCATGTAATTGACTGTAAATATGGAGTTACGTATTCGGCCCGCTCTGACCTAAGGCACTGCTATATTAGCCAAATGCGCAATGCCCACAAGATTAGGCCTTGCACCGTAGCCTAAGTGGAAGGAATCTTGTTCAGTCGATTCTATGACATCCTGTTTACGTCTAGGGGACCTTACTCTATTAAAACTGAATGCTCATTCTGAATATATTGCAGCACCTCTGCCTTTAATTGGAACGGGACAAGCTCTTCCCGAGAGGAAAGCACATTTAGAGTGATAATAGAATGCGGACAGGTGTCACGCAGTCTACCAAGGAACAGCAACTGGAAGTCGGACTCCTCCCAGGGCATAGGTACACATCTGCAGGGTGGGCCATATATATTCATACCATTGGTAACTTTCCTATTTATGTATGCCTAAAAAGCAGCAAAGAAAAAACTTTTGTTCTTCAATGTGAGTGCCTCTTTGATGATCAAATTTGGCTGTTTTAACATGAATTCTTCTCTGCTTAGAAATGATTTGAGGTTCAAAAAATTGTTTTGCTGACCATCAGGCAGAAATGCTGAAAGAATACGAATGACCCTCATACCAGAATGACCGTAACCAAACCGTAAATACTCAAACATGTAATTACCAAAAGTAGTTGAGCCATTGTGCCACTTTCTCCAAAAATTGTCAATCATTTTACAATGAAATGTTGCCATTATGAGTGGTTTCTTATTTGAGATTATGGTCCGCGCCTTTTCAGTCGTTTTCTTCTATTGACTTAAGGAAGAATCCGCATAAGTAAGAAGTATCATGTTTTAAAATACTTGAAAATAGGCGCGAATCACGTTTTGAAATAAACGTTTTTCGGTCGAACTACTCCGGAATTGGCAGCGTGAAGGAGTGAGCTCATTTCGCAATCTCCCACAGAAATTTGGCAATACCAGACCCGCTTTAAAGTGAGGATCGTCATGCTGAGAGCCCTTCTGTATGTTGATTCCAAGTGGTTCAATCAGTACCTGATGTTGGATGCCATCCCCGTGTATTTCTTTCAGAATCTCTTGAAGGGTGATGCACGTCGGTAGGGGATCTCTTTTAAAGAGTATGTTAAAAGCTCCGTCGATCTTCGCCCTGCGGGTTCTCTTTGCATTCAGTTCAATTTCCTGCACTTCTGTAATAAGGCCTTTTTGCACCAATTTACTAAGGAAAAGGTCTGCATCCATGGGTATACTTCCGTCTATGATCATGGTCTTCAAGCTTCTGAGATCTCTCCCATACATTTTGAAAGTCTTCAAGGGACCCTTTAACCTGAAACAGGGAATTCCGCGACCAATGGCATTAGCAGATGAGCAATGCATTAATAAATACCTCATGCTACAAATTTTAAAGCTAGTTGATTTTTGCTTGCATACGATTTACGAAAATCCATGAATATCCAACCCAAAAATACTTTAAACCTTTATTGATCCAACACATTGCATTAGTTCATGAATTAGATACAAATAAAATCAAATAATTCCAGTATGGAGTCAAAGGTACGACAAAGCCATTACAAATGAAGGAAGCAAAAACTTTGATTCCAGTAAAATTTGAAGACAATATGAATGTTTTACAGTAAATGAACTGCATCAACATTTATTTGCTTTGAGCGTGTAATTTAATAAATTAACGGGGATGGCCTACTAGGCAGGCAATTGACACATCTGAGAGCAAGTTTGCTTTTACAGTTGGGAAACAAAGCAAAGGAAGGTAAGCGTTTCATGTTTGTGTGCGAGTCAATGAGTATAAGAATTATGAGGATTAGAAATCATAAGCACAAACTATCTCTAGACGTGAGACTTCGAAAGAATTCAAGTGATCGCGGAACTTTAATAGCAGATCCCCAAATATAATCATATAGTCTGTTTATTTTACTTTATTATTATTATTATTATTTCATTTTATTATTATTATTTGTTTTAGGGGGGGGGGGACGTATCCCAAGCGATCGATTGAGGAATAGGCGTTGAAAATCAGGCCCGATCCCCTCTTGTTTCACTATCAGCCGGTCACTCAGGATGGTTTTGGCGAGAGCCTTCCATGGATGTGAAGAGCAGAGGGTGTTCCCTCTCGAGGAATCCACGTCTAGATAGGGGAGGAAGGGAAGGAGGAGCACGAAGAAACCAAACAACGAGGGCCTTTTCCTTCCACTGCGTGGAAACGAATTCGAATATGAATTCTATATTCAATGGCCTATCCATGTAAACGGCCGAGTATGCTACGCGGCATAAGTCGAGAGTGTAAACTGTCCAGTGCATCATGTAGAGTTTGGTCAAGAATATTTCTACGATATTGTGTCAAAGACACACCTCGGGCAGCAGCACAGTGGCAATAGGAGCCAATAGAGAACCTACGCTATCTCTTGACCTCTGACTTGAACAGAGAGAAGATAATTCAATGGGACGAGTATGGGGGAATCAATCTCCAGTGAACCATACAGTTTTCCACGATGAAAGGAATTTCTTTTTTCTACCCCAATCATGGCACTTATTTGATAAGTGCCTAGTGCCGACGTACCAACTATCATGGGCACGTCGTTGTCTAATTGTCCGGAACTTTTCATATAGGTCTACGTTCTTGGTGGTTCGCGCAAAGAGGGGAGGAGAGCTTAGGCGTAGAATGCGAGATGCAATATTTCACGAGTACGCCCAGCATCCCTGCCTAAGCGGTCACGAGCAGTCCCTCTACCCTATAGCCTACTATGGATCTGTCATCCGCTAGGCCTGGAAAGGAAGTGAAAGTTATATCGGTAGGCTGGAACTCCGACCCAGGTAGATAGCTGCAGAAGCCCACTGCGTCGAGTGGTCCGGTTGCTATAGATACTGCGGGCAGACGGAATGAAAAAAAACCAGAGTGTACCTGCCCAGGTACAGGTATGGCATCCACCGGCCCCTGTGCCACTGGGATTATTTTTGCCACATCCTAACCATTCAACCTTGAATTAAATAATAGACATTTGTATGACACAGGTCTATATGAATGTCCACACAACTTAACTGAGGCATTGCAAGTGGCCCCTAGTCAAGTTAAACTTTCGCACAAAGTCTGAATTTGGGAGCTAGTTTACCATGCTTCTCGAATCTGACATTACTGTGGCAGTACAACTGATCCATGTTCTCGACGGTTCTCGTGTCCGCGTTGCGTGATGAGAGGAGCGTATATGTGTTGAATGCCAGATGCGCAATTCACGCGTACGCCTAGCAACACTGTATACGTGGCCGGGAGCAGCCGCTTTCCCCATTGTCTACTATGGATCTGTCAACCGCCAGAGCTGGAAGGGAAGTAATGTTTTTGTGGAAGACGAATACCCCGACCCAGGCGGAAACTTGCACATGCGCAACGGGTCGTGTTGTCCGGTTGCTATGGTTATTGCGGACTGACGGAATGAAAAAAAGTGAGACTGACTGCAATATCTGGCACTACCTCATAGTACCTATGGGAATGCCAGATTAATCCTAGTCCGCTGGACTCACGACATATTTCGTTCTATTACTGTCATTATTTTTTTCGTAGAAAAATGAGCTTTCGTGACTTTGTCACCTTGTTCGTGCTCTTCAAAAATACAAAGAAATTTACAAAGAAATACATACCGTAACCACAGCAAACGGCTTTATTTTACATGTGAGTCTGACAGACTCACCTTGCCCAGAATAGGTTGTAAAAAAGCTTGCCCAGATGAGGGTTAAACGTGACAAGGCAGATATTGCGATCGGTCTAATTCTATATATATAGGATTGGCGGATATTGAGACGATGGAGTAATGTGAAATCATGTTTAAATACTTTCCTCTCTCTTTAACTTTAACGCCACCCCCCTCCCGACGAGAGCCACTAACGTTAAGCCAATGCCTAACCGACGAACTGATTCAGTCAGGTCAGGCCAGGAATCACCTTTTTACGCACTAAAAGACACTTAAGACTCGACTTAAGGGTGAATTAGGTCTATAAGAATCAATCCCATGGTCTTCGAGACATCTCGTTGAGGACGTGTGACGTTAGGCCGATTACAGGCCTCTTCAGACATTCACGAACTATTTCAGAGAGGACGCGTAACGTTAAACAAATTAGAGGGCTGTTCGAGTTAAATGAACCATTTCCGAGCGGCGTGGAACGTTCGGCCGATCTGAAGGTCCTCGAACCGTCTCGACTAGGTTTGTCCAGGATGCATGAAATGTTTGTTACGCGCCATGCTGTTAATTCAGGGATGTCTGAGTAAGATATCTACATTCAGTATCCCTCGACATTGAAACACCCTGAAGTAATCGATCAGTCAGTCACCATTTTAAAATAATCAAACTTTTGAGGTATACAAGCTACAGCGCATACCTTTACTGCATACCTCTAAATAGAGCATAGAGCATAGACTTCGTAGTTTACTTTCATGAACAGTTAAGCGCGAGGTACGCCATTATGACAACCACGCGCCTTGTTGACGGCGCGGAGGCGTACAGGCAAGTTATTCTTCGAGCTACTCAACAGTTCACTGTCATTAGTTCTCTTGAACACTTTTCCATTTAGGTATCCCCAAACACAAAGAAAAAGTCACATGGGTTGATGTCGGGGATAGTCGGAGGCCTCGACAAACTACTGTTGAAGACGTTTGGATAGTGGTTTGCAATGGCGTGCTCACGAAATTTAATGCGTTAAAGGGTTCTTTGGCGTGTTGGTAAGTGAACGACGTCGAGTTAGGGTTGCAAACTTCACGGAAAAACATTGTAGCATGTTCAATGAAATGGTAGGAAAGCTGTCGTGAAATCTTTCATACTTTCAGAGTCATATTATTTTAAAATGGTGTCTAATCGATTGAAACACCCTGTACGAAGAGTAAAGAGAGCCTTGAAGGGAAGACCCGGTTGCGGACCAGTGTGATACAAGGAAACTCAGTACGAGAATGAAGTTACAGGAACTGCAGAATGGAGAAAATGATGAAATATTCAATCTGTAATGGGGAAAAGTCAAAGAGGGAAGATGTCGATGGAGTGACAAACTTCATTATCACCCTGCCACTAACCATTAGGGACAATAAATCTCTATAAAATTCGGTCAATTAATGTCTAATAAGGTGGAAATCGATAGCATGAAAATAACTTTTCTTCATCAGGCGATATGTTATGTAAACAAAACGTATGCAGATAACTTGTTGAAATTGGCCTATTATTGAATGTTTCTGACTTAGTGTGGAAGTTATCATGAACCCATTCGCATCAAACAACTGGTCGGTCGCTCTGCCTTGGCCTACAAACCTATGCCTTTCAAAACCATAGGCTGTACAGGAAGACAGTGGATGCGTGGCAGTGCGCTCCTGGATACGAATGATATAATTAACTGATTACTGAATCGTACCATATAGTAGTGGTTTCATTACTTCCCTTTTGTGTGTCTTCTCACTTAACATAGGAAAGTACTTAGGAACAAGCCAGTCTTTGCTTTTGTTCAAACCAATTTGTAGTGGGAAGGTATGTATGAGAAAGATGCGGATGACAAGCAGCGCACATAAGAAGAAAACCAGCAAAACTGATAAGGCTCATCTTCACCATGGCCTTGTCATGTGGTCATTTTATCTTGTGTTGCACCATGTCATGTAAATATTGAAATTTATTAGCATGGTCAAACACGGCTCCCTTATCCCAAATTCATCCTTACCCCTCTCCCCCCTCACAATCCTACCCGAAACTAATTAATACTATGCGCACTGCTCACGAAGATCTTCGTGTTTGAGTCTTTCTGCTAGTCATTTTGCCTAACCTATGGTCGTAAAAATCATCGTCTTGAGGCGTCAAGCTTCCGACTAAGGAAACTGAGGCTTAGGTCAGAGCGGCAGATCGACGAGGTAAATTGTCTTGTACACAATGTGTTATTTATCCAGATCTCTTGGAAAACTCACATCTGCATAGTTTAACTGTGATGGATACTGTACTTGTATTTGGCCCTCATAACCCTGGTTCTTGAAAGTCTGCCATTCAAACACTGGTTGTACTACACGATCAGAGTCGGAATGTCCTCATGATGACTGTTCCCTACATCGTCGTGAGAGTCGGGTTACTTTGCACCCGAAACTCTATCCGCAAAATTCAGTTTTTTCTATTACCACACCACACAACCGAAAAGGGTATGTCGCAGGCGTAAAGCTACTGGTACTAGCCAATGTATGATGCAACATTTCGCACAGACACAGGGAGTAAAGGCGCATAACGAAGGGGATTCATAATTCCATGCCCAGATTCCTAACATCAATGGAGATCTTATCACGCTAATGCATCGCACTTATACAATCCAACTTTTAATTGGAGCTACTTTGGTTCGTACATGAGCTTGTGCGATATCCTCTCCATGCATTTTCGCATTTATTGGCTTGCCAAGCAGTACTGCGGGAAAAATGTTTCTTTTCCTAAGAAAGAAAATATCGAGCGAAACTCGAAACCATTCAAGATCTTGAACATAACTTTATTTCAGCTGTCAAAGCAGAATAAGCCTTGCCAGTGCGATCACATTAACTTAGAACTATGACCATAGGAGCCCTCTTGGGAGCCTTCGCCCATTTCCTCGAGTACCTATAACGGGGAGCTGAAAAAGATAAAGTTCTGTTCTTCACCCGTTCCAGATTCTATCCCAACTCGAGTCAACAAGGAATTTGCCTATTGAACTTGCAATCCCCTTGGTCGACATTTTCAACGCATCTCTTAAGTCAGGGCAAGCACCTGACTTGTGAAAGACTACGACAGTCATCCAATTTCCGAAAAAGCACCTACCCTACTGTTTGAATTACCTCCATTCCATCTCCCTGACCTGCCTATCCTGCAAGACGCTCGGGATGCGTTCTTGAAAAATCGGGCGTGTTGTTAACCAGTACGTTGCGAAACAAGCTTTCCCATAGGAATAGTCTCTCTCATACGAAGCTCGGACACGTTGGGCTAGACGCATGAGTCCCCACGTGACGTTTGGGCCACGTTTTGTAGGAGCATATGTCCGCATCAAGCGGGCGGTTTGGGAGAAAAAGTCATAATATATCAACGAGCGTGGAACCGAAACTAGCTTGTTGGGAAACAGCGTGTGGCCAGGTGTTACTGTATATTCCTTTCCATCTAGACATAGGGAGAGCGGTGACAAGCATTTTTCTTTCCTTTAGTAAGCCTTGGACCCTGTTGACCACAACCTAATTCTAAAAATGTTATTTTTCCCTGGCGCTGACCCTGTTCTTCTTATACGGCTGACTTCCTCGACCATAGGAGCCAAAAAAAGATACGAGTAGGTGAATTCTGAGACCGTCTTTCTTTCCTGCGGCGTTCCTCAAAGCATTGTTCTTGGGCCTTTTCTCTTCTCCGTCACAGTAGATGATATGCAAGATCGAGTGCACATTTATTAAAATGTTAATGGTAAGACCCTCGCACAGTGGTTCCCAAACGTTTTCGGGCACGACTCAAAATTCAACATCCACACCTTGGGTCGCGACCCTGGGTTTGGGAACCCCTCCCCTAGCAATATCCCATTCAAAAACATCATTGCCCTACCTTCTAGCATCCCTGAACGAACAGCAGATTTGGATGGACGCAAACAACATGAAATTGAACCCCAACAAATTGCTCCATGATGCAGTTTTGTTATCCCAAGGCCTCAACCCCCGATCCTGACTTATATATCTCAAATGTACCTTTGCTAGGACAAGGTTCTGTGCGCCTAATCGACCCAGTGATCCATAGCACCTGTCTTGGCATGAAAAAACGGTATCCTTCGTTAGCAAGGCAAAGCGTCGTCTATTCATATTGAAGGTCATGAAATCCTTCAGTGGATCGAAAGAAGATCTTATGCAGACCTGGACAACCTACATTCGCCGTCTTGGAATATGCTGTCCTGTTCGATAACCCATTGGCATTTTCGTTATATACCGAAATCCGTACCCTAAAATAGTATTTGTTTTCAGAAAACAGATTCTTAATTCATTCATGACCAAAGATTTTCAATTATTATTCCGATTTCCCCTGGATTCAAGGCAGGGAATTATTGTACGCATTTCAGAAATCTACCTGTCATGCAGCAAGTGCCACCTGAGGGACACTAAATACAACGTCCAGAAGACTACCTTGAAGTTCAGCTTCTGAACTGTTCCGTAGGTCTACGCTTTGCCCAGTCATTGAGACTACGAAACTGTTCCGTACTATTAAGCCAATGGGTTAACATCCGCACTGGCAAATAATATTGAGAGGGTACAAAAGCGCGCTCTTGGCATTATTTTGAGCACTAATAATACTAAATACGAAGAAGCTCTCAAAACTCGTTCTGCCCTCTCTGCAACAAAGGCGCCAATCGGTGAGGATACTATGCATGCTAGCTTCGTTCAGATCTGTGAGAAGATTCCCCAAGAAATTGAAACAATGGGGATATGCCCCATATGTTCAGGGGGGTTACAAATCACTGGCTTAATGGAAGCAAACCGGAGAGTGGGAGTTTTATATTCACTCCTCCGTGAATAGTGAGAATAGAAATTTTAAGTTACCGCTATCGTATCGAAGTACCTGATATAGTATCATGTACACCAGGAACTGAGGCAATACAGGTCTTTGATCGCTGTAATCTTCTGAGAAAAGCATTATATGCAATAAATTTTCCCGAGAAAGATACATTACTCAGCGTAAATGGATGATTTATTAGTCACAAAACGGAATCGTGGTTCACGTGACGCGCAAAATGTGCTATTTAGTATTGCGCCGCAGTGAAACAGGGAAAGGCAGAGGCTTATACAGCTGCTGTGTCTAAATCCACTTAAGCTGCTTCAACTGTCCTAAGTATAGTTCTTGAAACATTTTTCTTCATAGTTTTAAAATAAGTACTCATAATTAGGCATTGCACACAGTTCATTTCTCCCTGAGATGAGGGATGCCTATGCACCCAAAAACCTGGGCCTGAAGCTCAGGAACGAAAAACAGTTATGCTTCCATTTCATAAGGGTATGTACTCAGCCTTATCCACTCATAGATTATAATGACTAGCCGACCCATGGGAGACTTCCATGAACTCTTCTGCAAGAACTTCCGATTTCATTCGGCGGCCCTAAAACGCAGCAGCCCCTCTTTCCTATTCTTTACGTGTCCCCCACATATAGCCCTTGGCGTCCCCTTTCATCCCGCTGAAAGGAAAGATGACTTCCACGCCGGGGTGAGATCTTCGCCCTTACATTCATCGGCACTTTTCCCTATTGATTGCAACCCCGTTCGCTTCGTCCGTAAAGACCATCTCCATCACTTTGCCTGCAAGCCTATGAATGAAATACAGGGTGGTCATAATTAAACTCCCCCTATTATTACACCTCTGGAGAATCGTATAGTGGGTGAAACACACTAAAACTCGGGAATTGGGTAAAGAAAGACATCGGCACGGAAAAAATTAGTTCCTATTGTCACGGCTTAGCCAAGAGAAGCGCGCGGTTCTTCCGGTGGCCGCTAGGTGGCGCCTTCTGGGGCGCCAAAGGTGTAAGGTCAACGTGATGACCTCCCTCTTAATTCTCCTTTGATCTGTATAAAGTCCCCCTATTCTCTAATTTGGACAGCAGTCGTCCCCAGAGCAACTATTTGGAGATCTGGGAAGCTCCGCGCGAGAAGGGCGAACCCGTTAATGATTGATTGTAGGGATGTGCGCTGCGAGAAGGGGGTCCTTCGCGAGGCCGCCCTTAGGGGAGAAGGTGAGATATCTCATCCCACTCTCTCATCCCAAGAGCGGTCTCACGGTCTCATTTCTAATCACCTGTCCTCCTGATTTCACGTGTACGTAATTAATAAATTGTTATTGGCCCCTGGCACCTGGCCTGTGATTTCCCGGACACACACCGTAACAATTGGTGGCAGCGGTGGGATCGTCCCTCACCTCTAAGAGACTGGGACCGACCGAGGCAGAATTCCGGCGGTGAAGTCTGGAGGACCAGACTTAATTACGAGAGGGGGTGGTATGACGGATGAGGATGGCATCGAGAGGCTCGACTGAATGTCCCGTGTTCGGTGGTGTAAAGGAAACACACCTGATCGACAATCAGAAGGCCCAGGTTCAATTCCCGGCCGTTCCCTGGCTTCTTTCGACCTCTCATGCTTTCCGTCGTCCGTCTCCACTCTCCCTCTGTAGCACTATTTTGAACCACCAGGGGGGAAAATGGTCCCCCCCCCAGGCAAGGGACACGGGGCATGGTCATGGTCCCCCCCCCCCCTTCTCCTCTCTCTACGGTCCTGAACATAGTCGGGAATCCATGAATTCAGTCAGTGCTTGAACATTCTACGCGGCAGCCACTCTCTCTCCCGTTCTCGAGAACGAATCCGACAGTCGCGTAGACTCAAAAAGAAACTGCTCGCTCGAGAGCGAGACCCCAACCTGTGGAAGACATCCACGTATTCTGGGTCGGTCTAGGCTAAGCGTGTAGCATATTCGGATATTTACGAGTTAAGTCAGCGGCCCCATTAACGCTCTGCGCAGCAGCCCCACGAGAGCGAGACCCCAACCTGTGGAAGACATCCACGTAT